CATTTGTGTGGTGCAAATATTGGTTCACTTTTATTGGCCCAAGCCTGGATATTGTCTAGGTTTGGTTGAATTTGATGGACTGCCTAAGTATCTGAGCAGTCACAAATAGTATTGTGCACTCTGCAACCGTTGAATCTCTGATCTTTTCAATGGTGGAGGGAAGGCCATTGACAGCCGAAGATGGTTGGGCCGAGGATGCTACCCAGAGGAACCTGTGCAGAGATGTCTTGGAGCTGGGATGACTGACCTCCAACAACCACAACCATTTTCCTGTGTGCCAAGTACTTCTCTCTCCAGTGGAGAGTTTGTCTCCTGATATCCATTGATTCCAGTTTTGCTAGGGTTCTTTGCCACATTCAATCAAATTGACCTCTTGATGTCAAGTGCTGTCACCTCCCCTCTGGAATTCGGCTCTTTGACTGCTGTTTGAACCAAGGCTATAATGAGGTTAGGAGCGGAGAGTCCTTGGTGGAACCTAAATTGGGTGTCACCTAGCAAGTTCTGGAGTGCAAGCTTTCAGTACTGTTGCTGGAATGTTGCCAGGATCTGTAGCTTTTGCAGTATCCGGTGTCTCCAAACATTTCATGATATCAGTGAAGTGAATCAAACTGGCTACAGATGCCAGTTTTCAATGCTAGGGACCACTGGAAAAGGTCATAATCTCAATAAGGGATCATTCATTAAAATGAGACGCAAAAGAAATTTTTCTCTCTGGCCGTAATGACTCTGCGGGTGTATTTACTGCTTGGAGCTCTTGCAGCTGAAATACTGAATTATTTTTAGATCAGTATGGGAATCCAAGCGATTGGCAAAAAAGTAGGAAGGTAGAATTGAGGTTTGGGTCTTGTCTTGTGTTATGCAGTCTGTGCCAAAAGACCCCTTTCTGCTCCTTTGCCTTAGCATCTTATTTTTGAAAAGTTGCACGATCGAGCTGATGCAATCTTTTGTCTGTATTAAATGGGAATTAATTTCAACAACATGCTGCACAAAACATTGTTTCGGCTTCAGGCTTAATGTTTAAACTGAATGGAATTACACCACTTGACCTACAACAGAATTACTGTACCTCATTTAACATCAAGAAAAATGACTTTCTGCAAATTAATGCTGTACATATTAGATGTAAAGATTTAATGATTAAGTTGACCTTGTAGCAGCCATGTAGGCTCACCAGCAAGGTGAACCGGGAGAGACTTTCCTGCTGAGAGCCTGAAATGGCAATAAGGGACTCTGAGGAGCTTGTCAAGGCTGATCCTTATTGGATAGATAAGATGTAATAAGCATACATATTGGAAGTTTTCTTTTCATAATGGAAGGCAGTGAGAAAGGCCACTGAAGTTGAGTGCGTCAATAATTGTGTATAAGGGATTTCCATTTAAAATCCACTGGTAACAAACGTTAGTGATGGCCCTAATTGGTCTCTTCCAGTTCATTCCTATAAGACTTTTTTTTCTTTAAATTGTAAATTGACAGTTAAGCTCCTTTCTCCTGTTTCTACGTGGAATTCCAACTTAGCCTTGGACAGGAAAGCAGAGAGAAAAGACATTACAACCCGGATGAGCAATGTGTTATTTGCATATGTATATTTAAGCAAGCATACCTAATTATTTCCTTCCGCTGATGAAATAAACTGACTCTTATTCTGAAGTCCCCTTATTTTGAGCTATCCTTTATACTTGGAAATAGCAAATGGCTTCCTAAGGAACCAATGTCATTTTTGAGGAACAATGCAGACTTCTGCATAGAATTCCAACTGAGTTCTAGAGGATTCACAGATGCTTTTGTACCTTCTGACTTATGGAATTCTAGTTATCACTAGAATATATTTAGTTTCATTCCCACAATCACAGCTACCTTTGGTATGAAACAAGTTTTCCACTTTTTTCCTCATTGCAATTTCAGCAGTAACAATTCTTGTGACCTATTTTTCTGTGTACCCTCTTATATTTGTTTGCATTAAGATTGAAATTGAACAATGGTGCCACAGAACTGAACAATGCATGAGGCTGATTGAGGAGCATTGTGTGACTATTGCCGGAGGTAAAGGTGCAAATGTGGATGAATAAGACATCATGGGTGCAATCATTTTCAAATCATTGGGGTCTCCACTTTTTTTTTGCTGTGGAAGGTGGGGCAGCCTATTAAAATTACTGATGATGCTATATTGGACACAGCAAGCTGTGTCCAATGTATGCATTGCATAAACTGATTTTAGCAGCATTTTTTTCAGAAAATTAAACTTCCCAAATGTGCATTTTGCTTAAATGAAATCTGTAAATTGTAATAAAACACTATTCAATTTGCTGTGAGAGGTCTAGAAAAAATATTTAATCAAAGTTAAATTCAAGTTTGTTCTTGTAACTCAAATCATTAGCTTTCTCCGTTTCCTATCTCTCCTCTTCCATTCCTGTATATTCTGCTGCCTCTGTTTTTAATGTGATTTATTTTGTAATCTTAAAATTATCTAAACTAATCACACTTGATGTCTCTTTCAGGTTATGACTTTGCTGCAGTGTTGGAATGGTTTGCTGAGCGTGTTGATCGAATCATCCTTCTGTTTGACGCTCATAAGCTAGATATTTCTGATGAGTTCTCTGAAGTTATCAAAGCACTGAAGAATCATGAGGACAAGATCCGTGTAGTGCTGAACAAGGCGGACCAGATTGAGACCCAGCAGCTAATGAGAGTTTATGGTGCTCTTATGTGGTCTTTAGGAAAAATTGTCAATACTCCTGAAGTGATAAGGGTATACATTGGCTCGTTCTGGTCTCACCCTCTACTGATTCCAGACAATCGCAAGCTTTTTGAGGCTGAGGAACAAGATTTGTTCAAAGATATCCAGAGCCTCCCTCGAAATGCTGCTTTACGAAAACTCAATGACCTGATCAAGAGGGCACGTCTTGCAAAGGTTTGTGCACATGCAACGCATCTAGAATGGCTTTATACTCTTCAAATAACTCTTTGAATCTCCTGTTTTTAATTTTTGTCCGCTTTCATGTCTTATTTATGCTTTTTTGATAATTGAGTTTTATTAAGGTTTTGTGTACTTCATTGAAATCCCTTTTTAAGCCATCTCTATAGATTAAGGCTTTAGTTGTCAAATGCTTCCTACTGGCTTTTCCATTTATAATTTTAAAGAACAGCATGTATAATGCATATTTTCTGCACAGTTTTGAGCATAATTTTCAACGCATTTGAACAAATTTTAAAATTGCATGGGTATGGCTCGGTTGCTACCTTTTCTTGAATACGATGATCTTAGCTTCCTCATGGACATTGGATATATTGCAAAATTTTATGTCAGTTGCACACAGTCTTGGTAAGACTCCGTCTGGACTATTGTGTATAACTTTGCTTTCCTCCTTTCTAAAAAGCTGACATTTATGTTGGCAGTTCAGAAAAGACTCATTCTACTCATTCTTGGGATGAATGGCTTGCCTTATGGTTAAGGGTTGTAGGATAGGCCTACGGTCACTGGAGTTTGGGCAGTTCGAGGTATTTTTATGGAACCACAGGCAACATAATGGGGATTGGACAGGGTGGATACTAAGGGTTCTTTCATTTCTTCTTGGATGTGCAATTGGCTCAACCAGTATTTATTACCCGTCCTTGGTTTTCTAGATATGGTGGAGATGAGCTCCATTCTTGAATTGCTGCAGCATTTGGTGTAGGGCACTTGCAGTATTTTAAGAAGGGAATTCCAGGATTTTAACCCAGCAACAGTGAAGGGACAGCGAACATCAAGGAAAGAAGGCTTGATTCTCTCTAAGATGGTCATTGCTCGGCACTTGAGTTTCCTGTTGCATGGGAGATAAGCTGGAGAACCCTAAGGATGAGAGGTCCTTTTAAGATGGAGATGAGAATTCTTTTTCTCTTACATCTGTAATTTTTTTTTAATAGAATTCTTTTCACCAGGAAAGCATGGAGCGTAGCTCATTGAATTTATTCAAGGTAGTTATGTGTTTTTGATGGAGAAGGGAGTAAAGTTATTTAGGCAGGCAAAAAAGTGTAGGAAAGTGACAATGGGATCATCTGCCATCTTTTTCAAATGGAGTAGGTTTGAAGCGCTGAATAGCCTACTCATTAGACCTATGTTCTGAATAAAAGTTCAGCAGATGACTCCAAGGTGTCTTGAAAGAGGGTGCAGAAAAAGAATGTGAAGAGGGAACATACCAATGTTTTGTTGATGGATGAGTAGAGGTGTAGTACAATGGGCACAGAACGCAATAGATAACTTCACGAGAAGGGGAAAAAAATGTGGTATTCATGCATATCTAGTGTGATCTGTTTATAGCCTAACTCTTTGTACTCTTATGTGGAAATTAAAAATAAAATATTTACCTGCTATTAAAAGGAAATTACAATTCTAATCCATCCATTATGTAGTTACATGATTGTAGTAAATGCCTTACAAATTTCTTTCCTAACCTCACTGACACCCAGAGCTACATCCATTGAGCTTCTTTCCATCCTGCTCCCTGTACAGTCTCAATGATATTTTCCAGTTTCTCTGTTTCTCATTGCATCTTTTCTGGCAACGCCATCATTGTTTTGAATCCTCAGTATGATGTTCCTTCATCAAAGGTTCCTCTTGACCCTGCCCATTCCACTTTTTTCCCCCAGTTTTTTACTTCCATTACTTTTTTACTATTTTCCATTCCTCCCCAAACCTTACCAGGTTGACTTTGCCTTCCACTACCCTCCCATGTCCTCTCTTTAGATCACTTCCACCACCTCCATCATGATACCGCTGCTGAACTCACTCACTCATTGGTCCAGCAATTCGGAGGCCATTGGTAATACTTCCTGCTCACCTTTCCCCTTTCCCCACACCTCATCTCATCTCTTCTTCTAGAAGAAATTAAGCTCCTCTTCTAACTCCCTCCCCTGTATCCAGGATGTCAAAACATTCTTTCCAGGCAAAAGAGCTGTTTACTTGTCTTCCTTTTAATTTTGTATTTTCCTGCTTTTTGTTGTGGTCTCCTCTGAGGGAGTCTGAAGTCCAAAAGATGATTGCTTTGTGTAACTGCAAGCGCATCCATAACTTTTTTTTCTGGTCACCTCTCATGTACTCCTTACCTCAGCACTTCTCCCCCTCCTAGACTTCTGTAATGAAGCTGTAAGAACAGAACTTCATCTTCTAATTAGGTATTTTACAACCATCCAGATTCAACATTTGAAGTCAACAATTTTGGATCATAACTGCTATTCCAGTGTGTTTATTTGCCTTGGTATGTTACCCATGGTTCTGTTATTTCTGTTCACACCACCTCTTTTAGTCCCTTTTTTTTTCCCTCTTTGTAGTTGTAAACCTTAAGACCTTGATAATATGACACCGTCTCCAATTGAAGTGCACTTCAAGTACAGCTTTCCTGTGGGCGAGATCTTCAAATCAACCCTAGGATATTGAGTGAAACCTGACTCTACCTTTCAGTTTCACCATTGTTTGTGCGGAATTAAAGTAGCATCTCCATATTACAAAGTATTGAAAGTTAACTTCCAAGGGTAAAGCTAATCTTAATTAAAAGATAGTTGTAATACCAGCCTATTAATATCTTTGTTACTAAAGAATTTCTGACCCATTTGATGTTCCCAAACTTGGAATTACAATACATAATCAATCAACACTGAGGCTGGCCACATTCTACTAAAAGCAGAAGGTTGGTTTTTTTTTTTATTTTTTTGAAGCTTTTTATTTCTATAATGTTATTTGGTCTTGCATGTGGAGACATTTATTCTTAAAAAGCATCGGCAACTTGGGGTATACCCTATTTGGCCTCCAGGCTGCTATTTATGCTACATTCTGGCCTTCACCCATCTTTCATTGTCTAAATTTATCATAACTCAATTACCGTTGCACGGTAAACATGGCTCAGTGACTAGCACTGCTGCCTCATATTGCCAGGGACCAGGATTCGATTCCACCTTTGTGCAAACTCCACACAGACAGTCGCCTGTTCTCCCCGTGAGGGTCAGCAAGAGATTCCTCCAGGTACTTCAGTTTCCTCCCACAGTCCGAAGATGTGCAGGCTAGGTGGATTAGCCTGGGAAGGGCAGGGTAGGCTGGTGAGTCTGGTGGGATGCTGTGAAGGTCCTTGGGCACTCAACGGGCCAAATGGCCTGCTCCCATACTGAGGGATTTCTGTTTCAATCTTCCCCTTTTTTTTAAATGATTTCTCCAAAATAAAGGGCTGCAGGAACAATCTCATCTGTTCTTGTCTTTGAACCCAAAAATTACTTGCTTCCCTTTCCAAAAGATCTTCAAAGAATGTCTCTTCTTCCTATCTCCAGCTCAAAATATGGATGAGGGGAGCAGGGGCTAGTACTGCAGTTCAGAATGAAGATGATGGTGGAAGCACAGCAATCATTTGGTAGCACTTCCAATAATGATTGCCGAGCCTAGCTTCCCACAATTTGTTACACTCTTGCACTCCCTGGACATGCAATGCTGTAATCACTTTACATGCACACTAGATGGAATTAATTATGGTGTAGGGAGCTCGGACCCCAGTCGAACTCCACTGGTGACTGGCTGCCAACATGAAAAAGACCCTTTTTTATCCACTCTCTTCTGCCAGTCAGCACTTGTCGGCAATGTCACTCACTGGACAAATGTGCTTCAAATTTCAGAGTTCACACCCTGCATCTTTATACCTAAACTCCAGAATAAACATTGTAGGTGTCTTTATTTGATCCAGCATGCTCTTTTGAGTATCAACTTTAATAATTCTTACAAATGAGTTGGAAAGGTCAAGGTGCCCTGCATTTAAGTGGAACAGTTTCACCACAATGAATTATTACAATGAATTATCAAGCTTCCGGAGCTTGAGTTTCTTTTCCTGTTTACTTGTTCCTTAGAAATACTTAACTCTTGTTCTTGCCTGTCTTTCAGCATTCTTAACTTTTTTGAAGGAAGTCTGTTACTGGCTGCCTTTTTCCAAATGTTGTCAAGTGTGGTGGTTCTGCAGATGGTTTTAGTAATCAAGTAACTGTAGCTGTATACTGTTCAGGTCTAAGATCTGCTTGGTGTTTAGTGGTAAAGTTACATTTGACTTATTAGAAAATGATGGGATATGTGATCAGTGACTAAGGAAGTGTTGAGTATTAGTTTTACGTTTTACATTTTTCCCATAGTTACTTTTTAATTCTATAATGGGAATTGTCTTTTGAGTCATCTTTTTAGGCTGGCTTAATTATACATGGTAACTTTTTTGAGGAGTTGTCCAGTAATATTAAAAATCAAGGCAATTCAACTTCTAACTATTCCCTTCCATAGAAACTTCAAAATTACACTTGTGCTGCTGCAAAACTGCTGATCTTCCTGCAGTTGCTAACCGGTAGTAAATTTGTTGAGCCATTACAATTACTGAATTTGTGGTTTTTTGGATCTGGCTCAGGACATGGACAAATTTGCTCATTATCGTTGTTGTAGCCACTGACTATGCATGCATATGCTTACCCAGTGTTGGGCTTTCATATTGCACCTTTTTTTTTTTCCCAGTTTTTTGTATTTAAAATATAAGGGTCTTTGGCAAGTTTTCCTACTTAAGGAATCCCAAATTTCATAGCCTCCTGCCTCACACTCTCTTTTTTTCTTTTTGGCAATTTTGGCCCATCAAGCCCACACCAACGCTCTGAAGGGCATCCCACCCAGACCCAACCCATTCCTATAAGTCGGCGGTTCCTGTGGCTAATCCACCCAGCCTGCACATCGCTTAATACTATAGGATAACTTAACATGGAAATCCACCTTACCTGCACATCTTTGGTATGTGGGAGGAAACTCATGCAGACATGGGGAGATGTCTGTATGGCATTTGTGCAGTTGCCCTAGGGTGGAATCCAGTCTGGATCCCTGGTGCTGTGAGGCAGCAGTGCTAACCACTGAGCCACCATTTATGTATACTC